AGGGAAGTGGGCACACCCGCCCCTACCCCCCCGCGGCGGGCGCTGGGGGTGGGGGATTTCTAGGAGTTGAAGTCCACATATCATAAAGTTGCTAAGTTTGAGAAACACTGCTTTAGAGGATAAAAAATTCAAAAATACTGGGCTTCTGATTCCTGAAACATAGGTATGGCTTAGTACCCACAGGAGATGATAGTGAGCCATGCAGCACCAAGTCAAGAGTCAAGGAAAGTTGTAATATCTTCTTCTGTGGGTGGGGAAAAAAATCCAGGATGTGTACACAAGGGAGGCGTGCAGACTTTACATATTAGCCTGCCTTAAGGAAGAAATCTTGGTGGGAAATCTCCTGAGGCTTACCTCCCATTGACAACCTTTTTGAAGGGGTCAAACAGGCAGTAATAATATTTGATCTGAGGACATGGTAGATATCTAGTTATCTATGATTCCCAATAAAAGATGGGTCATGGATCCTTCCTTCCTTTCCCCAACCTGCTACCCTCCAGGGATGTTAGAAGTCCCATAATTCTGAGCCAGCACTGAAGTCTAACACAACAGGGGGTATTACCAGGTTGATGGAGGAAGAGAACATGAGTCCAAAAGAAAGACAGAAGGAAAAATACAGTAGATCACATGCTTCAGAGAGGCATTACATGTCTTAAAATAAAGTTTAAACATAGTTTGGGAGAAGTTAAAAATTCATAGCAGCATCTCTGAATCTGTAATCCCTAACGTAGTGACAAAGCTTAAAAGTAGTCCAACACATCTGGAGGGCACTTGGTTGGAGAAGGCTGGTACTGAGAGCCGTGTGGTATAGTAGCTAAGGTGTTGGACTAGGGCTTACCATCCATCTACATTTTTAGTATCTCTCTCTTCAGCTGTTATAGCAGCTCCTAAGATTCCACCTCTGAGATGGAAGATCGGCTTGGATTTCAGCAACTCTCACTGAATTCTATGGGCACAGTAAATGGGCTCCAATATAGGACATACCTGAGATAGGAGAGTCTTCCTCTCATCCTTTTTGCTTGGCTCACAGGGAATAGACATGCCTTCAAACAGAGGCTTGAATTCAGTCTGCCTTTCAAATAGAGGCTTTGTCTATTTGTAAACTAGGACAAATGATCACTGTATCTCAAGCTACAGCATCCTTGTATCACACATGGGGAAAAATGATGTTTTGATTTGGAATAAACAAATTCACATGCATATATTTCCTGCCCTTGCTCTTGATATGAACAGATTCAAAGCAAGAAGTAACACCTTTAGGAAATATGAAATCCTAAGAGGAGCTAGAAGCTGCCCAATAATAATTACAGCATAATAATTTTAAAAAAGGTAAAGACTCTTCCAAGTTGAGCTCTCCTGTGGACTTAATAAGCATGTCCATGTAGTTTTCTTGGAAACAGTACAAAATAGTTTACTATTCCCTTTTTTTAGGATTTTTTTTCAATTTCCCAGTCTAGCCTTGGGGCATCCTGGTGGTCTCCCATCCAAATGTTAACTAGACCTGACTGCTTAATTTTTCAAGATTAGGTTAGCTAGGTGCTGCTACCTACGTGGAAAGAGTAAAAATTCTTGTAGTTATTTATGGACAAGTTGAGCTTTTCTATTCAGCAAGAAGATATGACTTATAGCCAACTCTTCTATTATCTTTCCCCATCTGGATACTTCAGGACTGGCCCACATGGATGATTTAAGAGGTGTCATAAGACATACTGGTATCAACCTTTCAAAGTAGGCCAGACTAGGAAACCAAAGTCATGCACACTGACATTACTTTTATTATAAGGTTATAGTAACAGAATCTTGCAACTCTGAATGCACTTCCTCCCTTTATCTTTGTAAGAACTAGGGAGGGTCTTGTCTGAGACGCCCGCTCAGGTTACAGTTCTGGCCCAGACTCCTTTTATCTGACCACAGTCTTAGTTGTGGTTCTTCCTCCTGTTCCTCAAGGTTATTCCTTCTGTCCATTACAATTGCTTGAGTTGCTTGGCTTAGCATGATCCATGAATTCGGCTGATGTGGTTCTTGGGAACACTGTAAATTGTTTCCAAACCAAGTTAAAACAATCATGGCTTAGCAAAATGTATAGATCCAGCCCATCTGAAAAGCACATTTGGCAGTGTCTAAGCACCACAATGTGCTTCTTTCCTCTACCCACAATGTATCATTTATATAGTGCATTTCAGTTTTTCAGAATGATTACAGTAAGTGAAGTTGACCAGTATAATTATGGTCTATCACAAATGGATGAAAGAATTTAGGCGGAGATGAACTGGCTGAGCTAAGATCATCCAGCAGTATACAAATAAGATGAGTTTCATCCAATATCTTCCTGGCTTAACACTGATATTTTAATAGTATATATACTGTGTCTCCACCACCATTAGCAGGGGATAAAACAAATTAGGGTGTGAAGCAACTTGAGATGAAAACAGTCAAAAAGAAAAAAAAAGAGATGATGCTCTAAGATTTAAGGGGGAAGGCTTAAATGCAGTATTCAGAACAGGGACATGCAAACCAAGTATTCTTTTAGGCAGTATCTCATTATTTTGGGTACTCACTGCAAAGAACTTATGCTAGCACTGTGGTGGTTGTGGGCCTGCTATTAAAGTTGGTGGTCTGACAATTGCCCAGAGTTGCCATTCTCTGCAGGTAGCCCTGGTTAAGCAACTATTCCCAACCCCAGTTTCAACCTCTTCCTTCAAACTGAAGCTTTAATGCTTGCACTTTAGAAAACAGAAACATCTGAAAATGAATCATTGCTATGTACATGAATTTTGATTGTGTCCTTATCTGCATTACAAATTTTCTCCTCCAAAGCACCAGGGGCATCGGCACAGATCAAGAGAGGAAGTTCATAGGGTCTCGCTTACATTGCCCATCTAATGTGCATAATTTATTTTTTGGAATGGAAATAGGGATTTGGAGTGAGGTGTTTATTATGTGTACATGAGGGATGTGAAGTGCAGAATTCTAAATATGCCTTACTGACCATTTTTGGAGGAAGAAGAACCAACCCATGTCACAAGAACTTGATCATAACAGATCTGTGCTTTTTCCCCTCTCCCAAGGGTTACTAATCCTTCCTGTTGGCTCCATGGCAGAAAATAATTATAGCTGGTGGAAGTTAACCTTCCTCCGAAAGAAGAAGTCCACTCCAAAGGTATTGTATGAAAGCCCAGATATTTATGCAGTGGCCAATGACGAGAATCTACAAGAGGGCGTGCCAGGAGATGGGAGCAGCGGAAGCCACAACGAGCAAGAATTCAATGCCCGGCTAGAGAAAATTGTGGACAAGAGCACCAAAGGGAAACATGTCAAAGTTTCCAATTCGGGACGCTTCAAAGAAAAGAAGAAAATCAGGGCTACTTTGCCAGAAAACCCCAACTTCTTCTCCGATGGGGAGCGGGACGAAAAATAAGAGCCAATTGAAGGAGATGCTCTTCGTAATCCCTTCTTTGAGGACATTTCTCTGCTGAAGAGAAGCTGACGACGCATAAGGTTCATTACATTTGCTAATGAAGTTAACGAGGGAGCTATCTGGGGTCCAGGATCAGGTCCTGATTTTCATGTGAAGGTCTCAAAAACGATGAACATCATCCATGTTTTTTTTTCCTCTTTTTTTAATTTAAGAAATAAAGATAATATTTGCATTAAACACAAGCTTGCGAAGGAATCAACAGTGAGAAAGGAAAATCAAGAGGTGGAGCAGAACAGGGAACATACACAGTGCTGCTAAACTCAGATCAATTATCCCTGGTTAGCAACCCTGTCAACCTTCTAATCAGAGTAAATAGAGAATGTTTGTCTTTGGCTCTCAGGCCTGCTCAGCTCCTGGCACTCTTGGGCAGCTGCTCTGATAGGCCTCATCAGTACTGGCACCTGCTTTCCTCTTCCTACCCACCCATTCTCCCAGCTGCAAGCTTTCTTGGCAACAGCAGCTGAGTCTGCAAATCTGACCATCACTGAAAATCACACATCCACCCCCTGATTCACCCTGCGTATACTTGCTCTAAGTCACTGTAGAAAATATAAATGAATTTTTTTTTTTTTACAGATTAAGTTGCTTCTTCTAGGTAAGCTCATGGCTAGGGAAAGGGGCCTTTGGTGGCCTCTTAGATATTGATCTACAGACCAGTCAGTCTGATGTCAGTACTTGGAAAGATTCTATAGCAGTTCATAGAAATCTTTATTTTTAAGAAACTTGAAAACAATGTGATAATTACTAGCAATCAGCATGACTTGTCAAAAACAAGTCTTGCCAAATGAACCTTAGCAAATGTGTTGTTTGGATAGCATCCTTAGATTGAGGGAATGCTGGTGATGTAGTTTAACTTGATTGCAGGAAAGCACTTAACAAAATAGCCCATTACATTTGCTTAGTATACTACTTGAATGTGAGCTGGATAGGTAGTTACATACCTGGCTCAAAAATTGAGCTCAAAAACTTCATCAGTGGTTCCTTACCAAACTGGAGTAAAGTGGGAGAGGGGGGAGATATTACAAGGTTTGATCCCAGATCCTGTACTCTCAAACATTTTTATTCCTTAGATGAAGTGGTCGAGGGAATGCTTTATTGAATTTGTAGATGATATAAAACTGGGTAGGATACCTTTAAAAACAGAAATAAGTTATAAGTTAGAGAAATGGGATTAAAATATCAATAAAATTTAATAGAGACAATTGCAAAGTTATTTTCTAAGGAAGTAAAAATCAGTGCACAAATATGGCATGGTAATAGTACTAGTGAAAAAAGATTTTGGAGTACTAATACTGAATATGGGATATGGGTCAGCAATATGATGTGGCTGAAAAAAAGAAAAAGAAAAAACCAAAAGGCAAATACAATTTTAGGTAGCATAAACAGAGATTTAGTAGTAAACTTTGTAGTAGTAAACTTTATTGTCATTGTACCTCGTACAATGAAATTAAATGCCATCCCCAGTGCACCTTACAAATATAAAAACCATAGAATAAAAAGCACACATCCTTCGCATTCTAATCCTTCACATTAGCTTCTAAATAGAAATGATAGTTGCCCTTTGTTCTGCATTTGACAGATCCCCTCCACCTTGAATACTGTGTCCAGTTTTGGGCTCTGGTTCAGGCAATCTGGAACATGTTTAGAGTATAGCAGTGAGGGTGACCAAGGGGCTAGGAAGAGAGATTAAATCAGTGTTTTTCAAATTTGGCAATTTTAAGATGTGTGGACTTCAACTCCCAGAATTCTGGGAGTTGAAGTCCACACGTCTTAAAATTCCCAAGTTTGAAAAACACTGGGTTAAGTAAACAGGGATGCTTATCTTTGAGAAAACTGATGAGGGCTAGGGTAGTGTTTTTCAAATCCCTGAGAGGATATAACATAGAATAGGGCACTGAATAATGGACTTAAGTTACAGGAACAGAGATTCTGACTGAATATGAAGGGGGAAAAAACCTTCTGAATTGTAAGAGCTGTTTGACAATGGAACTATTTACTCAGAGAGGTAGTGGCTCCTCTTTGTTGGATGTGTTCAAGTGGAGGCTAGCCAGAATCATTTACCAGGGATGCTGTAATTGGAGCAGTGGGTGGAACCAGTTGACCTAACAGCACCTTCCATTCTTTGGGTCTTGAACTTGACAGCTGTGGGCAATATCACTTTACCAATTTACCAATAAGCAAAAGTGGAGATTCTTCTCACGGCTTTGAGTATGCTATCAAGGTTTCTGGTACAAGGGCTTGCTTAAGGCTGTGGCCCACCAAGCCAGACACAGCCTCTCAGTCCATATTGTGCACTGCCATGTATATAACAGTCCTGTTTATTTTTTGTATTCCTGGATGTGTAGCAAAAAGAGGGGTACTGATCTTAACAGCAGGCCACCAAATAAGGAGTATCATGTTTTCAGGATGCTGGGCTGCAAAATACACAAACTTGCACCCAAGTAAAATGGGGTGAAATTGTGGCCCTACTTTTATCTTCCCCAGGCCCAGCCCTTTTGTGGGGCAAAATGACAGGATGTGTCAGACAACAATGGCCAGGTTCATATAACCTACTAAATGATGTGGTTGTTTGGGGTTGTTTTAGCACAATATGTGAACCGAGACACAGTGATGTATAAACCATGCTTTATAGTTTAGCATACAGTACAAAATCAACCAATAGTGGTTTGTTCAATAAACTATGGCTTAATAAAATATATGAACCCAGTCACTAAGAGATTGGAATCAGTAGTAGGGTGTCTTAGAGTGCAGTTGTATGGTTTTATTTTATTTATTAATCACATTTACAACCTGTCAAATCAAAGAAAATGGGACACCACTTTGGGATCCTGCTAAGTTTGTCTGCCGTCCTGTAGTATGATGAAGCTTGCTATCCTTTCTCCAATTTTGAAGTAAAAATTCAGCTGCAAAATCTGTTGGATCTAGTCTATAGACTGGGAAGAGGTAGTATCTTGTCCTCTGCATCAGATGGCAGAATATCCTGGGTTTGCGCTGCAGAATTGCATGGGCCAGATAGAAACCACCATCTTGATATCAGTGTAAAAATAACATTCATCTGTAAGCTCCATTACTTTCTTATATCATTTTTTTGTTCAGATAATAACATATACTGGACCAGGACCAAATGTGACCCAACAGATTAGCAGTGGTGTGTATGCACACCACATAAAAAGGAGCGAGCTAAAGAGGGAAGCGTAGCATGTGAATTATCACCCCATGAAAATTCCACTGACTTTGACTACAAATGTCTCTTTTTTTTTCACTTCTCCATTTATGACCTTCAGTTTCCTCCTTAATTCCTTATTGTGCAGCATTACATTGTTTTAAGGTATGTTAATATCTCCTTTGATTTCCTGGCTGGGGAATTCTGGAAGTTGAAGTCCACCCATCTTAAAGTTGCCAAGGTTGAGAAACCCTGGTTTATACCAAGGATTCTTGAAACAGAAATACTGTAGTTTCTCTTCAACTCAAATTGAACAGTAATCTCCATGTAAAAAGATTTCCTCCTCCTCTAACGTATAATGTATTTTACTAGCTTCAGTCATCAAAGATAATGCATTCTTTTGCAAACCTTCCCTCTCTTTGGACCACAGTATGGCTGAGTTTGAACAGCTTATTTGTTTTTTTTCCCTCTCCGATGGGTTAGTGAAAATAGTGAGTGGGTTTCTGTTGGGTGGCTGTTCCTTCTCAAAAGGAATTGGACAGAAAGTTAATTAGAAACTTTATAATTCATTTCCTATATTCCAGAGAGGGCATTGTTAAATACACAGACTCAAGAGTAGCTTACTTCTTGTTTCTGTCTCTCTCTCTCTCTGTAACTTAGAGTTCTCTAACGTCACTTAGAATAATTTCTTTTGAATTTCTCACAAATGTCTTGTTAGGTAGGGATGGCATTTGAAAAGGAGATTTGAATATTTTTCCACGCATCTATACATTGGCCTCAAGCGTTGTTTTTATTCCATATCCTGGTGTCCACATCTGAAATTCCATTTCCTATGAGTCACTGCAGTGATGGCAAACATTACCCCTGATTTTGTAATTTTGATCCACCAAATCAGCAGAAATACCTCTAAAGTATTTGCTTGCTACATAAGTTCAGTTCAAGGCTGTTCTTTTCTCACATTCACTGCAAATGCCTTCAGGCTAGTCCCTTTCGAATTTGCCTAGCAAGCCATGTGAACTTTAGCTGCAAAGAACGATATTAATAACTCATCCATCAAGTTCATTTTGCACTTGTAAAAACTACAGTTTTGAAGAACTTTGAACATCAGTTTTGTTGAACTTTGTAGCAGTTCGTCTTATGATCTGACACAAATCACCTGGTGCGTAATTCAGTCCACTTGTCCTAAATGGATTTATTAAGCAAACAATTGAAAAGTTACCCATTTCATCAGAATTGTTAACACAAACTCCAAAGTTAGCTGTTGTTGCCCCATCAAATCCAATCCCTTCTCACCTAAATAAAGTTTTACTTACGAGTAAAGAATTGGTGAGCCTCCAGAAATTGTTAAACTGCATTAGCTACCACCAGCAGGGGCTATGGTTAGGAATGATAGTAGCTGTAGTCTAACATCTGGAGGGTCAGATTCCCTTCATTTATTTTGAGATTTAGGTGTAAAATCATCCCTTTAGATACTGCAGTTTGTTCTATGTCTCAGTCTTGTGAATTTGTGTTGGCTGGAACCTGGGTGTCTATAGCTTAAAATGTGAAGACATTTTAAACTTTCTTTTACAGAGTAAAAAATTAAGTATCAAACTAGATAAAGTTAAAGACCCAGTATCTTTCCACTTGATTTTCTTTCTTCTAAAAGCAGCCGCAAGACGCTCGCATTTAGAGTTGCAGAGGAACTGTTTTCCTCTCACAACTTGGCCCTCATCCAATCTTCTTTGAAATGTAGATGGAAAAGTTATCTCTATTACTAATAGAAACTCTAGGGTGGAGCAGGAGCATATCTGGATTGTGGCTGTAGTACATTTCAAAATGTTAGAGACTGTTCCTCCAGTGGTACAACCCTTATTCAAACTGGAGGTGGGGAAAGGGAAGAACCGCTTTAAGATTTAAGACAATTATATGGGGAGACTCGGTATGAGAGGCAGTTTGATGTGGTCCTTAAGGTGCTGGACTATGAGTAGAGAAATCCAGGTTTTAATTCTCTCTTAGGCTGGGAGCCAGCTGGGTGACCTTGGGCCAGTCACTCCTCTCAGACCAAAACAGCGTCAGCCTCTGTGACAACCTGGCTGAAAAACAAAACAGCTACTCACATCATGCATTGATGACTTTGCTGTACGAACTGGGCAAGTGCGGTGCAGACAAGCAGACCCTGCACCAAGTGGGACAAAAGTAAAAGAGGAGGAGGAAATGAAATATAGTCAAGGATGTCTGCACTTAATATCAAGTTCTGCCATAAGTTAAACACCACACTGGAGATGCTCAACATGTCAATTTTGTATTCATCTACAGCAGGTGGTAATACTTAACCAACCTTACCTGGTCTCAGAAAAGTAAGCCAGATTGGGCCTGGTTAGTATCTCGACAGCATACCACCAGGAAATCTCAGGCTGTAGGCTAGATTGAGGTGTCAAATAATTCCTGGAAGAAGGCAACAGCATCATGTCCATGTTGTCCTCAAGAAAACTGCAGGAACCAGGAATTAAGCTTGACTTAAGGGCCTTTACACATTCACCTTAGCTCACAGAGGCAACTGATCAAAATAAATGTTCCCTCCAGGGTCTACAAAAAGATAACAATTGACCCCCCCCCAAAATAATCCTATTGATAAAATACTTGCCTTTAAATAATTATTTATTGATTATTTCATTCTGTAACCTTATTTAACCTTCCCCAACTGTGTTAGACTTCAGCTTGGCTATGATAGCTGGAATTGTAAGAGTTGGAAGGCACCATGTTGGACAAGCCTGATCTAATTAATTATGCAATATAGGATGGTCTTCAAATGCTCTTTGTGGGAAGCAAGTTTAGTTGAAGTTAGAATAATCAAGGCTTGAATTAAGGTTGCTTCCTAAATGCTGTGTTCCAGTGTCAGTATGTGAATGCAAAGATACAGGGAGTAATAGAAAGGATAGCAATGAATAAGCATCTAAGATAATAGGAAAGGGTTTTTTGGGTCACAAAAAGGTTGTTCTATTCTTGCTCCTCTTTTGATTTCAACAGACTAAACCTTGCCATGGTAAGGTGCTTCTCCGGAAATTAGCTATACTACCACAGCTGGTTTGATCCTTACAGCAGTAAAGGAAAGAAAATGTAAATCTAATTAAGCATGCGTAGAGTATTTTTCTGTGAGTACGGGTCTTACATTTCTGATGTCTATGAGCAACATTTGTGAGAAAAAGGCTGTGTTGAATCAGGTTATTTTCAGAATTTCTCCACTGAGAAATAGTGAGGGCTGTTATGTTTCTCACTGAGGATAGCGGGGGATGGCATGGCATGGCATGGCGGGGCAGTGCTGATGCTAAAAAAAAAAATTTGGAATGGATTGCATTCCTTTGGGTATATCTGTATGGCCGGCAAATGCCAGCAAAGCTGATGCTCTGTAAAGTTTGCTGCGGTCTGGTGGTTGTCTGGATTTTGGCAGCCCTATTGTGGTAGCCCTAACGGTAATCGTAAACTAACCTAGGCACGCTTGCCAAGTTCACACAACAGATTAAGCCAAGTGTGTTTTAGGAGCACAGTTTATAGCTTAGCACAATCGAGGAACCAAGTCTTCCCTCCTCCTGAGCGATAATTTGCTTGCACCAATTCTGTGTCACTATAATACAGGAGACATTGCAGCACTCAGGCTACAGCCATTTCTTATGCTTTGTAAAATATATGTTTTAATTTTCTCACCTGCCCCGCTCCAACCAAAGGAGGCTACACTTCCAGGTAGAAAGAATGCAGATGGACTCATTCCAGGACAAAGCAATCTCTTATTTTGGTAACAGAGAGTGGGAAGTACAGGAAATACATTCTGCTTGGGGCAAACTTGGGCAGAGTTTATGTCTGTGTGAGAATTTGACACAAAGCACAAGTCCATACAATGTAATCTTTCTTCATACTGAAATGTCCCTGCTTTATTTCTCTTTCATTTCAAAATTGGGCACACCCAGGTGTTTAAAAATAGGTTCTTTTTGAAGCTATTCCTGTTTTGGATCAACACTTACAAAGGAGCTTATTCACTTGCATCTGGAACTATCTTTCTACTTAATTCCTCTCTCTGTTTTGATAAAAAAACATCTAGGCTATGAGCAATGTGGTGCCCAACATGGTGCCCTTGAGTGGCCATGTTGGGTGAGGATAATGATATTTGTAGTCCAGCCCATGCAGAAGGCAGTGGGTTGAGCAAGGTTGGTTCTGAGCCATTTCTCATCCTGCTATGACAAGACAATTCTTAAGCTTCTGGAAGGTTTTCTAAAACAAAACCAAATCAAAGAAAACCCCCCAAACCCCTCCCTTAGAATCAAGCTACAGGTAGCCCCCAGTTTAAGGATGAGTTCTGTTCCCAAGGTCTGTCCTTATATTGAATTTGTATGTAAGCTGGAACAATGTTATTGTATAATACTGTATAAGTAGTTTGTGTAATTAACTCAAACCATTGTGTATTTAACTCAAATTTTGCTACAATGGGCTCTGTTCTTAACTATGGGTCATCTGTAAACCGGGAGTTCTTAACCTGGGGATTACCTGTATAACCCCGAGGTCCGATAATCTGATTTAACCATGTATTTACTTGAAAGGAAATGTACGGAGCCTGCCCCCCCGCCCTCATTTACCCTTCGAATAGGAGGATTCTTATATTTTCTGAGAATATGACAATACACAGATTAGTTTTTTCTGCTTTTCCTTTTCGAGGCGTGGGAGAGACTGTCTTAAATTAAATTTGGAGTCATCTTTCTGTTCAGTACAACACATAGATATGAGTCCTATACAAATCCAAACTCCTTTCTTTGTTCTTTGCAATGGATTCAGCCACTTATATTCAAGGTACCGTGCCTGTTTGCAGGTACTGTATCTCCTCACATGGATGTAAAATGACGCTTGTGTTTCTGCTTCAGATATCCAGTTACGCAGGAACACAGTTAATAACTTTCCATGTGCACTCAAGGGCAAATATCATCTTCATACCACACTTCAATGTTGTTTTACAGTGATTTTACAGTTTTTAACCCTTAGCCAATCTTGTGAAGCTTAATTTAGGTCCAAAGTTGTCTTGTTAAGCAGAAGTCTGCAATGAGAAATTCTACAGTCAAATCCAAGACAGACTGAATTTCCAGCTGGCATAAATTAGAACAAGGTCCCCCCCCCTGCCCAAAATAATCAAAATAAGATTTTTAAAAATCTGTCAAATTCCCTGTCAACAAGGCTGAAGATGATTAGTTGGGCCTTTAGAGACTGCTTTCTCTTTTGAATTGTATCTAATCCCATCAAACTATCAAGAAAGGGAAAAAAGCATTTAATAGAACTCCCCAAGTTATGGAATCCAATTTGAAGAGCCCATTCATGCCATTCAATCTAGTCTGCATCCCTGTCCAAAATGTGGTACCACTTCCCAACCCCATAATCAAAATCTGTCTTTCTAACCTAGGACTCCCTTGATATAGAGCAGTGTTTCTCAGTCTCAGAGCCTTTAAGACGTGTGGCCTTCAACTCCAGAATTCCCCAACCAGGCATACTGGCTGAGGAATTCTGGGAGTTGAAGTCCACTCATCTTAAAGGCTCTGAGATTGAGAAACGCTGATATAGAGGGACTACAGCTCTCAAAATTCCAAGTTGAAGGTCACCAGATTGGGGGAGGCAGATTGATCCCATCTTTCCCAGTATCTCTTGCCACCTTGACCATCCCCTAATTTCTTGGCAGTGCTGGGTAGAGATGCAAGATTTGTTGTAGCCCAACATTTGGGGACTCAAGCTTGAAAAAAAAGATTCCCCGCTGAGCTTCTGATACATTCAGTGCAAGAAAAAAGATTGACCTACGGAAAAGCTGGCATCACATCAGATGACTCAAGGCTCACACCCCTCTCTGAACCATAAACCAATCCCACAGGCCGTATTTGCCAAACTAAGCTAAGATGTCATTGGCTTGTGTTTCCACATGTCAAGAGAAGTACAGCCAATATGTTCCTTTCTAAAATCAATGGCACTAGCTCAATTAATTTGGAAGCCATACTTCCCAAGTTGGGGCCTCTTTTGCAATCCCCAGTGTATAATGGAGGAGGTGAGAACTGCTTCCAGTTGCTCAGCCGCTGCTGTTGTTCTGCACATGGGCTGTGGCAGGGTTTCCTTCATTATTATGAATATGGCTTGCAAGTTGCAGGCATGTTAACGATGTTCAAGAAGCCACAGGCTAAACAAGGAAAGTGGCTGTCCAAGAAGCCTTCCACAAAGCAGGGGACTCACCTGGCCTTTAGGGAATCCCATCGTTCAAATGATTTGCTGCAAGAGATCCTGACCCACGATTAGAAAACAAAAGAGCAGTGACTGAGAAGGCAAATACATGCCGGAAGCTGAGCGAGGGCAAAAGGTTATCACAGCTGCAGTTTCACTGGGATGCAACCCAGGAGAACCGATACTTGCACTGTACACCAAGTCTCCCTCTAGCTCCTCCTGGTGGAAAGCAAATATACTGCACTCTTTTACTAAGGACGCTCTCAAAACAAACATTTACTGTATTCTTCTTTTCTGCAGAACATTCTGCAGGGACACAAAAACCATTTCAGCTGTTCCATTCTTTTGCCCTTCTCAGGTTCCAAATCCCAAATTCTTGGAAGAGGGTTTAAAGGGTTTAAACTTGATTTTAGCCCTTCGTACTTCGCCAGTTTTCAGCAATTGTGGGAGAGGCGGTTGCATCCTTCAGGAGTTAGAATTGGTAATTATTTAATTTTTACCAGCCACCTGACAGTTTGGAACTATTGTGCTGGTGAGGGTGCTGAGAGAGCACCCTAGTAGATTAGATCAAATTTTGGGTTTCTTTGGAATGTAAGTAGCTGACTTATATCAGGTCAAACCATTTATCCTTTTGGTCCAATGCCGTCTTAGTCTAACTTGCAGCATTTTTGCAGGGTTCTGTAACAGAAGCGTTAGTGTCACCAGCTGCAATGTCTTCTTTCCTTGGGAGAAACCTGGGATTGGATTTCTCTCAAGATTCGGGGCCTTCTGCAGACAAGGCACCCACACATTGCCCCTGAGCCTTTCTCCAGAGAAAGGTGGGTAAAAAGTGATACTAGTTAAAAATGGTAAGAAAGGCAGATGTTTTTAGAATATGCATATCCAAAAGTATGTATCTGATACCGTATTACCCTATGCTGGCTGGGGAGTTCTGGGAGTTGAAAGCCAGACATCCTAAAGATCCCAAGGTTGAGAAACACTGCTCTATTATAAACAAACAAATAAACAAACAGGGTTGTTAATAGCAGCTGATCCAGTTGAGTTTGATTTTGGAGCACAGTTGATTTAAAGTCTTAAAGCATTCCTGTGAAATACAGAAGAGACATCCTCATGCTAGTGTTTGAGAAAATTAAGGAAGCAAGAAAACAGGACAAAAGTTAATATTAAACTATGCTCACCTTCAGCTATCATTCACTAACTTTTATTGTCCAAATGTACATAGTCACGGAATCAAACTAAGTACATAAGAGCACAAAGATAGGTCGGCCAGACAGAACAACAATTACTAAGATAATACACCCCACTTAAATATTTCTTTACAAATAACATTAACACAAAGTGCTCACGACCCCCTGTGTCTGATCCACAGCGACTGCTTGCTGATGGAGAACTGCATTTCCAGTTCTAACATGAAAGAACCACATTTCTGAAAACAAAAGCATATACAATGCTTATTACAGCGGACAATGCATCTCACGACAAAAGCAGAGGGTTTCCTTGTTAACTATTGTTCCAGGCTGGATTCAGTAATTCTGACTCTAACTTTTCCTGTGCGAATGGAACACGACTGTTCAGAGAATGAGGCTTTCCAGCCCCCACCTTTCTTGCTGAAATTTCCAGCACCACTGAAAAATCTGTCCTCGGGTTTGGAAAGCACTCTGAGTGATGCAATACAGTGGCTGCAGATGGAGGGAGATAGGATGCGTTTCCTCTCCCACCATGCAAGCAGAAACAGGGTCTAACTTTGCATATTCTGTTTCCCAGGAACAGCTAGGCACTTATAGAATGAGATATCCATTGCCGCTTTTCAGTGCCCATATTTCCTTTTTTAAGCGAGCATCTCCCTTCTAAAGCATAGTTGGTTGAATAAACTTTCAATGGCCAATAGCCACATCTAATAGAGCTGAAGACCATGGTAGGCAGACTGATGATGTAAAACATACAGAAGCATGCTACATATATTGTCAGAGCAGGAATTTCCAGCTCTGACAATATATGTGGTATGCTTCTGTATGTTTTCTGGGTTTCTGGGTTTGAGAGGACCTGCTTTTTTAAAACTATGCCCTACCTATTTTAAGGTTTACACTACAGGTAGTCCCCAGCTTAAGAATGAGTTCCATTCCCAAGGTCTGTCCTTAAGTCAAATTTGTACTTAAGCCAGAACAGTATTATTGTATAAGTCGTATTGTGTAATGAACTCAAACTGTTGTGTATTTAACTTGAATTTTGCTACAATAGGCTCCATTCTTAACTATGGGTCATCTGTAACCCAGGCATTCTTAAGCCAGGAACTCCCTGTACAGTGTTTGTGTTTCCTACTTCAAAGTGGTAGGAAACTGTGATCAATCTTCAGCAATCATAGTGAGAGGGGACTTGGGTACCTCAGCCCTCTCATTTTACAGGTTGAAAAGTTTAAAAACATGGGCAGGGATCACTGAAATCAGAAGCAAAAAGACTGACCTTCCAACTGTTATTCCCACCCCTGAAATTCATCTTCTGAAGTTTACAGCCCATGTTATCCTCGTTTATTATTTTATAAATGCCAATTACTGCACTTGGCACTGATGATCTAATCTTGTTTTTTCCATTAGTTCTAATCATGGCTCCAGCGTCCACATTGCTTGCAATGCATCTTAACTGCTGGGTTGAGCCAAAGGGCACTATATGTACTTTAGAACTGATTTTTCTTTTTCTTTTAGTGCCTTCGAGTCAGTCTTGACTCCCAGGGACTGCCTGGACACGTCCATGCAGTTTTCTTGGCAAAGTTTTCAGAAATGGTTTGTCATTGCCTTCTTTCCAGGGCTGAGAGTGGCTGGCACCAAGTCACCCGGCTAGTTTCATGCCAGTCTCCTAGTTTCTGGCCCAGTGCCTTTAACCACTACACCAAACTGCCTCTCTAGAACAGAAGCCTGTTAATATCCTGGATAATGTAATGACATTTTGCAAAACCAAATTCAATCTATCTATTCCAACTGAACGCAGAATTATACAGATTTAACTGCTAAGTGTAAACTACAAAATTAGCCCAGTCTATCATGTACACCCACTAATGTCACTCCCTATCTCTGAGAAGCATTGTTTCAACAGGGGTGTTCTTGTTGAGAATTCAATCCTTTCCATATAAATTCTCAAAAATCATGATTTTATAATGCATAAATAGATTTGAATCATTTAAAATGTGTAGCAGTCCACCTTTAAGCACCAAAAGTGCTTATTGCGTTTGCATTCCTCCATGAGCTCAGGATAGTTTACACAGAGGAAACCCTCAGTTTATCCTCACAAAAACTGTGACGTAGATTAGGCTGATAGTTAAGGACTGGTCCAAAGTTACTCATGGCTAGCAGAGATCTGAATTCAGGTCTTCCTAGTGCAGATCCAGGATTTTATCCTCTGGTTCTTCATCTGCTCTGTCTCAGGGGAGGGTTGGGATCAGAGATGTTGCCATGTATATTCAAAGACAAATCCTGCAAGCTGTTTTAAGGAGAGAGTCTCTCATATACCCAGTTGCCCTCCCCTTTGTGAGTCATAGGCTCCAAGGATGCGCTGCTGGCCTGGATGTGTCGGAAGACGATGCGGTCATGCAAGCGGTTGGTCTGGCCCTGCCAGAACTCAATGACTTCTGGCTTTAAGATGTAGCCTCCCCTGGAAGAAAGAACACCAGCACCAAGTTGCTTGACAGCGATGTTCAGTGAGTTACACTGATCCCTGATCTCCAAGTCCAGGCTAGGCTGAACTATTCGGGTCAGAAGGTCACATCCAATGGGACAATGGGTTGGGGGCCAAATGAACATGCCCACAAAGGCTTCCTCTGTTCAAGTAGAGAAGACCCATCTTCCTCTAGCAGAGAAGGACCAAGGGATGGGACATTAGCAGGGAGGAAATGGCTATCTTACTCAGGATTTCTGGACAAGGTATTTTAACATTATCCTCCTTGGCAATCCTAAGGAAAATATTTTGTAGTCTCTTATTCAGTGTAACTATAATAGCTAAAGCATCAAGGAAAGGAATGGAGGGGGGAGGAGGAAGACATAAAAAAGGTCCAAAGGCTACATTTGGTCAGCCGACTGTCCATCTGCCATAAAGGGACAAGCCTCCTAAGTTATTAAGTCATAACTTAATAAAAGCAAGCCATGACAATGTGACTTTCTCACTCATCATCAACCCAGATATAGAGACACTGCTCACAAAAACACTTCTCAATAACAATGATGAACCCTGGAGAAAAACAGTCTGTCTATCCAAGATTCACAGTGCTTTGGACACAGAATATTGCAGTTATTCTAGAACTCAGTTATCCATTAACCTCAAGTTCCTATTTTGAAATAAAGTAGTTTTCTTCTGGTGAAAAAAAAATGCTTGAAAGTGGTGAGAATGCTGTGTTCTCAACTCTCATAACTCATAAGAGAATAAATGGGAGTCATGTTTTTATGTTCCTCTCATGGCTAGCATAAAATTATGCAAAAGAGAAACAACAGAGTTATACAAATAAGCTATGTAAATTTGACATAATTATAAAAATTTATAGCTTCCCCTGAAGTGGAATCTGGATTGCAAAAATATGGTGTTGGAGGGCTCTACTTAGGAAGTTCACATACTGTATACCCAGTAGAGAATCCAAGACAATGGCTATGGTACAATTTCTCATATTAGCTTAGAAACAAAAGAGATATCTGGGTGGTGTTACCAACGGAAAGCCATTTCAGTTTGTTCCACTCCACACTGTCTTGTCACAGGTTACATTTGCCAGCTATCCATTGCTATAAACATTTCAAGTTTCAGAGACCACAATGAATTCTTGCTGACAGTGAATTAAGGGGTGAGTTCACAGTGGAAATACCCAATGCCAAAATGCACACGATGGTCCAACTCACCAGTATGCTGGCTTAGGCACTTGGGCCTCTCGGTACATCTCTTCTAGCTCTGCATTCTTCTTCCTTAAATACTAAGAGAGGGGACAGTGTTATGAAGGCCTCATATAGATAATCACAACAAGCAAATAAGAAGCAGCTTGGTAGCATCTCTAAGTTGCTAATAGAGCTTTCTGCATATACTCTCAGAGATGACTAAAATACAGATTTACTTTTCAAGGCTACTTACATGATCCATCACAGAAGAACTTAAGTCTACTGTGCAAAAACACACATGTGCTCATTCACTTACATGGATTTCCTGGCCACTTATGGTAAGCAGGCATGTGGTGCTATCAACAAAGTATATTTAAGAGCAAAAACAAGTCTTGGCATATTTTCACCTTTGAGAGGATAACTAGCATGCATACAATCTGTTCACATTAAATTCAACATTCTGAGCTTTCTGCTTTTGCTTGCAAAATTATGCCTCTCAGTGGTTAGTGGGAGGTTTCATGGTTAACCTGTCCTTCCAACGCACCACATTTCCTGTTACAGCCTGTTGCACTGGCTACCTATAAAAGCACAGGTAGGCAACCTAATGTTGTCACGTGCTTTGGATTATAGCTCCCATCAGACCCAACCAACAAAGGACTATATTGGTTATGATGCCTGAAGGTGTCAGGTTACCATTTGTATCAGACAGTGATTAAGCTTTCATCATTTTCCCATAAACTGATGTTTAAAACTGTTATTGAATGGTTCTGATGAAGAATTTTCAATCTGAACAACTAAACATTTATATCCATTTGATGTTCATCCAATGAGCTTTTGTGAGCATCCCAACCCTTCAAGCTTATGATAATTACATTTTTATCCCACTTTTTTTAATATAAACATTTGGGCAACTCAAGGTGGTGAACATACTTAATACTCCTGCCTCCTATTTTTCCCACAACAACAACCCTTTGAGGTGGGTTGGGCCGAGAGAAAGACTGACTGGCTCAAAATTGCCCAGCGGCTTTCATGCCTAAGGAAGGCCTAGAACTCACCGTCTCCTGGTTTCTAGGCCAGCATCTTAACCACTACACCAGACTGGTTCCCTTATCATGAAAGTTTATCATGAAAAGAATCATGGCAAACAAATTCAAAGAGACTGACTGAATATGTGGTTGGGGAAAAAAGTACTGCTCTCCTATATATAAAGAGCAGAAATATTTTCGTGTTGGTTGCCCTTTCTTTGCTCAAAGACGTACAGCCAAGAAACCCCAGAGACACAGCACTACAGTTCCTCACCTCTCTGTCTGCAATCACCGAGCTTTGCCGGCTCACGACAGCCCCAATTTGACTGCTCTTTGGACGCGAATGGAAGTATTTCTCTGATTCCTGCTCTGGAAGCCTCTCTACGGAGCCTTCGATCCGCACCTGCAGCAAATTCAGTTCAAGGAGTGAAAGAGAAGGCCAAAAAGGGAGAGGGAGATATCTATGTAGCTCAAATTTCAGCTCATCTCAAGCTTCCCCAGTACTGCAAATTAAAGTAATTTAATTACTTTAAATAATTACTAATTAAATTAGTGCTTTTAAAAGTTCACAGCATTATTAGAACTATTCTGACTTGGTTCATTGGGGCTCACTTGCTCATAAAAGGCCCTATCCATTCAAAGATTGTCATCAAAATGAGTCCTCCCCCCTTTGGAAACCTAAGGAGCTGTCATACTAAGTCAGATAATCAATAAAGATCAATGTACCAGGTAGTATTGTCAACATGTAACACTGCCAACACTGACTGGCAGCTGCTCTCCAGTGTTTTAGATCAGAGAGTTTACAGCCCTATTTGCAGATGTCAGTAATTAAATAGGGGAAACCACCGAGGCCAGGCTCTAATCTATAGGTAATCCTCAAGTTACGATGGCAATTGGGACCGGAATTTCCATTCCTAAGTGATGTGGTTGTAAAACTCGACATCACGTGACCACATCACTTAGCGACGGCAATCCCGGCACTCCCCGTTGCTGTCATTAACTGAATCCCACCGGTCGTTAGTCAAGGATCTACCCCGATCAGTTCTTCCAAGGTAAGGGGCTGCATTCCCCCAAACTGCCTATTCTCCCCCATCTCTTGCAGGGCAACAAGCAGCCCCAGAACTGTGCAGCTCTGGGGCTGCTTGCCGCGCTGTGGCTCAGGGCCTTCTTGGTGCACCGCAGCTCTGGGGCTGCAAGAAGCCTCTGAGCTGCAGGGCAAACCTGCAGCCACCCCTGGAAGCTTCAGCTGTGCCAGTCCAACCCAGCAGTGTGGCGTGATGCCCCAGCCCCAACCTCAGCCTTATGCTCTGCCACCCCAGCTGACCTTCACCATCTTCTTGCTCCCACTGCTGACGAGGTGTACCCAGCCTGGCCCTTGCTGAGGCAGTTGCTGGCTACATGAGGCCTTCTTCCCCAGGTCTCACGAGGAAACTGCTGCATGCACCCAGCATCTGCCTCACCAAGGGCCAGACTGGGCATGCTTGGTCAGCAGTGGGAGCAAGAAGACAGGAAGATCAGCTGGGGGTGGCGGAGTGCAGGAGGCCAAAAGGGCAGAGATTGGGGGAAGATAGGCAGGTGGAGGGAGTTGAAGCACCCCTCCTGTCAGAAGTGCAGGTAGGCTGCCAAGCACCCAAATTTTGATCATGTGACTGCAGAGGCGCTGCAATGGCCGTAACTTTGGGGACCGGGCCTAAGTATCATTCGTTCAGCACAGCCATAACTTTGAACAGTTGCTGAACAAATGGTGGTAACTTGAGGACTACCTGTAGTTCCACAGAGAAATATTCCTTGTTTCTAAACTGATTCCCTAGATGAACTAACAATATATTCATCCTCCAAAGCTCCAGCAGTTAGGGATACTATCTTTTGTCTTGTTATCTTTTCAGCCTCAAGGAGGATAAATTAAAAGTCCTTTGTCCCCATAGACTTTCTGAAGAACTGACACTAGATCCGATCAGCAGAATCACTACTCTATTTTTCAGATCCCTCCAATCAGATCAAGAAGAGTAAGAAGAGGCTTCTTCTCACACTTCTCTTAAAGGTTGATTTCACTGGCACCAGGCTGAACAATTCCAAAGCAAGCTCTCAAGTATCCAAACCTCAGTCCCATACCCTGTGCTCTCTAATTCCACTATCTCCAGCTCAGGAAACACAGATGCAATTCCCTAATGGGACTAGAACTCAGCTTCCCACACTGAATAAACCAGCGGGAACAGGCAAATGGCTTGGCTGCAGTGAAGTTTTGCTCTGTTCATCTGCTCAAGTCTTCACCTTATACAGGTGGGACTGGCAAATATAAACAAAGGTAAGATTGAAAGGACAACCTGTGATAACCTTTCCTGAAGCACTTAGCCTCCAACAAGTTCAAGTGTGACTACCATCTTCTTCTCTCTCCCCCACCCATATTAGAAGAGAAGAAGATACAGTTTACCTGCCGATTGAGGGGCTCCCAGTAGAAGACCATTGAAGCAAAAGGGTTGGAATCCTGTAAATAATGTGGGAAAGGGCAACACGAAACATTTGGGAGGGGAAACGATTATTGTCCATTTATTAAAAGACACCTCTGAACTCTCTAAGAGTGAGACTGAGAAGGTGATAATTGGACTGAGATTATGTTTGCTGGGGGGTTGTGCTAATAAATATAAGAAGGAACACTAGAGCAGGGTTCCTCAACCTTGGCAACTTTAAGACGGGTGGACTTCAACTCCCAGGGAAT